TTCTGAATGTCATCACATTTTGATAAAATTATCACAAGGTAGTTTAATAAAATGAGCTTAATATCTTTTAATAGTGTAGTGATTTGGATTTTCCCAGTTCTTTACCTTGTAGCTGAGTTTTGGCAACCTTTCACACACAGACTGCAGGTGCCACTTGAAAGCTGTATATCACAGATTTTCTACTTAAAAAAAAGGTAAACAGCATCAGCGTAACAGGATTTTTCTTCCCCTTGAGTTCCTTTAATGGAAGATGATAAAGACATTGAATGGAAGTCTTGTACGAAATGAGACCTTCCATCCTAAACAGCAGTCAAAGCATGTAGAATTGTTGAAGTACTGGACTGGACACCAAATTATAATAATGATCACTACTGGTAATGGTCACTACTAGTAAAAAAAATCAAGGAACTAGATCCACAATCCAAAGACATGTAGTTAGTGGGAATAGGTTAAATGGAAATTCTTAATTGCCCATAGGTGTGACTGTGGAAGTGAATGTGAGTGTGAATTGTTGTCTGTGTCTATGTGTTAGCCCTATGACAGACTGGTGACTTGTCTGGGGTGTAGCGGAAGTGGATGGATGGATGGATGAATGGATGATGGCTAGACCATCTAGTACAGCAGTCCCCAACCTTTTTTCACGGACCAGTTTATGTCCGGCAATGTTTTCACGGACCGGCCTTGTGGATAAATACAACAAAATGAAACCAATGATCTAGCACGTATGCTAATTATTGGAAAGGAAGCCCCTTCTTGTTTGCAGTGGTCATGGATATGTTGTTAAATGAGGTCAGGCAGGAGACTCCATGGACTGTGATGTTCGCAGACAACACTATGACCTGTAGTGAGTGTGAAGCGCAGGTGAAAAAGAGCCTGAACAGGTGGAGGTATGCTCTGGAATGAAAGTCAGTAGAAGTAATGCAGAAAGCATGTGTTTGAATGAGATGAAGAGTGGTGTAACAGTGAAGATCCAAGAAGTAGAGGTATTAAATGTACAGAAGATGAGATTAGATACCCAATGTCAACCAAATTCAAAGCAATGGACAATACACAAGAAAGGTGAAGAAGAGAGTGGAATAGCTGGAGGTGAGTGTCAGAGGAAGTTTGTGTCAGAAGAACAGCTGCAAGAGTGAAAGGGAAGGTTTACAAGATAATAGTTAGATCTGCTGTGATGTACGGTTTGGAAATGATGGCTTTAACAAAAAGACAGGAGGCTAAATTGTAGGGTAGCTGAGTTAAAGATGTTAAGGTTTTCATTGGAAGAGACCGGGATGGAAAAAATTAGAAATGAACATGTTAGAGGCACAGCTCAGGTTAAGGATTTTGAGACAGAGTTAGACAGGAAAGGCTGAGATGATATATTCGACAAAGGATGCTGAAGATCTAGGCAGGACAAAAAGAGGAAGACCACAGAGAAGATTCATGGATTTAGTGAAGGAGGACATGCAGAGGGTTTGTATTACACAGGAGGATGCTAGGGATAGGGTGAGATGGAGGCAGATGATCCGCTGTGGCGACCCCTAAAGGGACCAGCTGAAACAAGAAGAGGAGTATTGATTGAGCAGAATGCATTCCCAGTTATTTTTCAACCACCGTGTCATGTGGCTTCTGCAGCTGTGTATGTGTACACGTGTGTACTTCTGTGCGTGTATAACTGCTGTTTCAAAGTGTGTAAAAGGATTGTTCCATCTGCTGATATGTAGAAAGTAAAAAGACATCATGTTATACCTTTATGTGTGCGTGAGTATTTAAGACCATCAGTTGAACGGCTGTTTATATGGTTAAAGAAATGAGTACTTGTAGGAATAGTGACAGAGCCTTTGCACGCTATTGACTGCGAATAAATAAAAGATAATTAATGGTGGAAAACCTTCATATTTTTCTCTGAATGTCAGTGTAACACTTCCTGATTGGATGAGGAGTTAATCCCCTGGGTACAAATATGATTTTACCATCAGTCTCTTTTAGAGCGGCTTTTTATTCTGGCAGACCTATATTATCCGTTTCCAGCAGTTGTAAAAATATGGTTGTGGTCATGAAAAAATCTGTACACTGACATATGAAAAATCTCATACTGTAAGTCGAGATTTTGTTCTCTAAGATTCTCTCGGTATCCAATAAGTTTCATAGATGTGTTGAAAAGTCTTCAGTGTTGACTCGCCAGAGTCATTTAGTATGCCCTGCAATGGACTGGCCACCTTTACACGCTATGCCCCGCCTCTGGCCCTGTGATGAATAGGATAATGACACTGTAGCAGTTAAGAAAATGGATAAATGGATGGAAGATGTGAAGTTCATTTAGTAGGTGCAGAGGTTAATAAAGCTACTCAGTAATTTAATTTTAGTTCCACAAATTTATGAAATTTATAAATGAGCTCAAGTACTTAAGATGTGTATTAATCTATAGCTGGAAATAGTCCAAGCTAATTTGCAATGCCTTATTGTGCGAGCAAGCTTTGCTAAAAAACAAAAACAAAAACATGTATACATGTATGCCTTTTTTTTTTGTCTATTTCTAACATGTATGCAGGGGAAAAAACAACTTGATTTACATTCTCTGGCAATATCCATGCAAAACTCTAAGCTATGATATAAATGACTTGGAAAAAAATCTGCCACATGTGAAAAATAACTTCTCCTATGAATATGCATGTGTCTGCATAAGTGATTTGTTTCTACCCTTGAGTGAAGTTGGTATAATACAGTACCTAAAAGAAAACAGATCTACTTGGACTTGAGCCCAGTGACTTAGCTGGCCAGTATATATGGTAAATGCATCTTTGTTTGGTGTTATCCAGTGGCGAATTGTTAGTGGCATACATACTCTATCAAAGTCTGCTCATGGCTAGACTAATCAGTCTCTCCCGCTAGTATGAGACTAATGCATTTTAACTCTTGCCTATTATCTATAATTCTCTTTTATATTCCACAATTCTGTTAACCCAGCAATTTCCTCTGCTTCTGTTATACGATTGGCTGTCAGGTGTAATTTCCTGGCGTGTCCTCCAATCAGGGTGGTCTGTTTTCTGTGTGTCAGCAAGTGTTGGGGTTGCTCTTCCATCAGTAGGATCATACTGGGGGTGTTTGAATCAGCTTCACATTATATTACTCTCTCACACAAGCATGCATGTACCCTCTCTTACAGACTACCACATTGTGGAGGAGAGGTAGTATTTAGTGCAGCACAGGGACCTTGGTGTGGCAGTGTCAGTGATGGATATGGCAGTAGGATCAGCAGTCTTGGCTTTTGCAGAAGTGTGTTGTCCACCACTGGGATCTGTCAGATCTGTTCTGCTGAGCCCACACATTCTGCTGGCTGGCTGCTATTGCTGCTAGCTATTTCTTTAATCGCTTGTGTGTGTGTGTGTGTGTGTGTGTGTGTGTGTGTGTGTGTGTGTGTGTGTGTGTGTGTGTGTGTGTGTATATGTATGTGTGTGAGAGCGAGAGAGCGAGAGAGAGAGAGAGAGAGAGAGAGACAGAGCGCAAGCTTGTCTGAGTATGTGCACAACACTGGGTTTACAAGGAGCATATATTACAACTGCAATTGGTTATAAATCCAGCAGAAAATAAAAAGGTCATCAAATACACCTTAATGGCCATAAAAAGACAAACACAGTAGCTGTTGGTTTAAACTTTTTCATAAAAAGTGAAAAATGCACAAAATAAACATTTAAACCTGATTACTTCCTTGCCTCGATCTTTCTGCACATGGACTCAGTCTTGGAATACATTATGCTCTTTTTTTCCTTCTAAACAAAGAAGACTTGCAAACTGATATTGTCCTCTGAGACCTTGTTTTTTTACTTTTAATTTATAAGCTGTAAGAGATGAAGAATTAAAAGCAGTACTACGCTAAACAGATGATAAATATCTGTCTTCAAAGAGCTGGTGAAACACATGCCTAAGAGATCCATCCATAAAAGCATGCCATAAAGACACACCTATGAGCTGCCATAAGTAAAAATCGTACTATATTAACATCATATTAGCACATCCCATCTAGACAGCTTATGCACACTTAGCTGAATTGATTTTATAATCACTTTGACTTTGACTTGGATATGTTTAAGAAAATGGATAGATGGATAGGACATTCATGCAGTATTCCAATTCTAAGATATAAAATTTCTGCCATTTTTGTGGCAGGAACTGGAGGAATGGTTATAGGGCTTGAATTTCCAGTTACTGTGGTTCGGCAGTGGAGATACCGCTCATGCTTGGAAATACAGTACTGTTGATGGTGAACTCTAAATGCAGTTGACCATCATGGAAAGAGACAGTTTGTATGCCTAAATGCTTTTTATCTCACTATAACTCTGGATAAGTTGACAGAGGTTTCAACCTTTGGTGGTGGGAGAAAAGGGGAGCACTGAATAAAGTAGAGTGGAACTAAATATGTAGAGAAAGGAAGAAGAACAGAAAAAACACAAGGGAAAGTCTTTTTTTTAATCTTCCCCCCTTGATCTTCCATCCTACACAGAAAAACAGACACACATACAGTCTACTTTCACATGCAATATCCTTTACACAGGTAGAGTGTCACCCTACTTGCACAGATTGCAACAGATTAGTGGTGAGTAGGAGTTAAAAGAGCTGCTGAGTGCACATTTAATACCACAGATATTTAAAGAGAACTTCCCTTTTATCTGAGGGGACAATCTGCATTATTCATGCTGTGCCCTCTGAGAGTTGAAGGGAGGAGGAAATAGATGCAAAGACATTTCAGAGAATTATTGTTTTTACTAGCAGCCAATGGATTCCTGTTACATTAACAGGAGATATACATTCTGTCTCCTTCCAGCACTTTGTTGGTGTCAGTGTGTCTGTGTGTTTGTGTGTGTGTGAGAGACAAAGAGAGTGCATTAAACATGTCCAATCTTTCATTTTTTGACTTGCAATTGTTGAAGGTGCTCTGAAGAAGAATGCAGCTATTACACAGCTGCCGATGTGCTGGTTCAGCGTGATGCTCATGTATCTGTCTGTGTTGTTTTTGTTTTCAGCGTGCAGGGCAGGCTTCTACAAATCTACTCTCGGGAATATGGAGTGCTCAAAGTGTCCACCTCATAGTTTCTCTCACCATGAGGGGTCTCTTCACTGTGGCTGTGAGAAAAACTACTTCCGTGCTGAGGGAGACCCTGCTTCTATGGCCTGTACTCGTAAGTGTGCATTTTTCCCCAGTGTAAATAGCACTAACATTTCCTGGTGACCTATCACATACTGAGTCAGTGAGTCTCATATGTTGCAGTTTGTATTTTGTGTCACTAATATAAAGGTTTCCAGACATTTTAAACAACTTATTGTTTTGCAGTCGTCCATGTTTGCCCATGAAAATAAACACCTTCAGCACAACATTGGAATTCCAGAGATAACACACTGGGAAAACAGTGAATAAGTGGACACAGGAAGATAAAAATCCCTCATTTTTTTAAGAGGTCACATTTTCTACCACCTTTTGCACTTCCTGTGTGAATCTGTTTGCCTCCATCTCATGCAAATGGATTGCAGATGCAGACGACTCCTGCAAGTATTCAAAAATGCATTCTCTCTAAACCAATAAATCACTGCATTCCCTGATGTCAGATTATTGATACATCCGTTACTAACGGGGTTAGGAAGAAAAAAAAAACTGTGTGGGGGAATGGTGGAAAATATAAATCAACGCCCGCAGCCGCAGACAGAATGCTAATTACAACGACAATCACAGCAGGTCCCTGTTGTGATTATCTCAACATCATCTTGTCAACTACGCAAATTTCATCTCATTGGGACAAACTGAGCAACGCTAGAGCTGAAAATGAATAGATAAGTTGTTAGGAGATAATGATCGTGATTATCTCAGGAGAGGTCTTTTACTGTTAGCGGTGTGATAAAGGTTGTTTCAAGCTGACTTTGGAAATTTGTTGGCAAGAAAATTTCAAAGGTCAGAGGGAAGGTTGAAGAAAAGGAGAAAATGTTTCTATTTTGTTCTTCATTCAGTACAGGGAGTGCAGAATTATTAGGCAAGTTGTATTTTTGAGGAATAATTTTATTATTGAACAACAACCATGTTCTCAATAAACCCAAAAAACTCATTAATATCAAAGCTGAATGTTTGTGGAAGTAGTTTTTAGTTTGTTTTTAGTTTTAGCTATTTTAGGGGGA